GATCCCCCTCCTTCTATCTATTTCTCTTTCTCTCTCTCTCTCTCTCTCTCTCTCTCTCGTTCTCGTTCTCGTTCTCGTTCTCATTCTCTACGTCTCGTTATCCACCCTTCGCGTACGACGATCGTTTCCGCGAATTTTATAGGGATTTTGACGAAACTATCAGAGTTTATCGGGTACCAAACACGAGTTCTTTGGTATGCGAAACAGAGAGAATGAGAGAGAGAGAGAGAGAGAAAAAATGAGACTGTCGATAGTCTTGAAAATTCTTTCGAGATAATATTATATTTATCCGTGTCACGGTGATAACGGTGATAATAACACAGTCAAGGATGAAAAAAGATGCTCTTTATATTATATTTGTATATCTTATTTGAAGAGTAATTTTTTTTTTTAATTTCGTTAGAACTGATTTGATTTCTCTCTCTCTCTCTCTCTCTCTCTCTCTCTCTCTCTCTCTCTTTGTCTCACAGATACACATACACACTTACGCACATACTCTTTTTCTCTATTTCTCTTGTGAATGTCGTTACCTTAAACAGGAGGAAAGTGCGAGAGAGTTAGAAGAAGAAGAAGAAGAAGAAGAAGAAGAAGAAGAAGAAGAAGAAGAAGAAGAAGAGGTAAAAATCAGAATGGTGGCGCCGAAACCGTCTAGATCTCTTCTTAGCGTAGCGCCGATAAAGGCAAGGGTGGTGGGAGTGAGGGGTGAAGAGGGCAGAGAAACGATAGGGGTTGTAAAGTCCCGATCTCGTAGTGCTCCCAACTCGATGACTGAAATGGCTCTATCGTCTTGCTCTATATAGACTTGACTGAAACTAGGAAAAGAAGCTACCGAAGCTACGAGTAGAGAGAGAGAGAAAGAGACAGAGAAAGAGAGAGAGAGAGAGAGAGATAGAGAGAGAGATAGAGTACGATATATATATATATATATACACATATATATAAATACATACATACATATACTACAATATATATATATATATATATTGTAGATATAGGTATATACGTTGAAACGATTTCGCGAGGTTAAAGAAATCGATGTAGCCAATCGTAAAATCGTACTCGATCGGTAAAAACGTTCACGATAAATTCTTCTCTATTGCTAACCCCCTCCACCCTTCTCCTCCTCCCCCCTATTTCCGTTTATCTTCCTTTATACTTAAATCAGGTAGGATGATGCGACTATAGTAGTTTTGATAATGGTAGCATTGATGGTGGTGGTAGTGTATCGGTCAAGTTCGCGAAACTCGCGCTTAAACTCCGTTATAAAAATTAACGAGTAACGATTTTAGATCAAAAGATTCGATACCCGATGAATGGGTTTCTCCATCGGGAATATCGATTTAGATCGATAAATTTTTGTTTTTCATTATTTATATTATTATTAACGTACATAAAAATAGAATTATATCGTTATAAACGCGTATCCTAGACAGGACGATGAAATACTATTTATTTAATTTACTTTCATACTTATTTACTTACATATTTACTTATTTACTTATTTACTGACTTATTTACTTATTTACTTACTTACTTACTTACTTACTTACTTACTTACTTACTTACTTACTTACTTACTTACTTACTTACTTACTTACTTGCATATATTTGTACAAAGAAAAATCGAATGTTAGTGACGAGGAAGACGAGTTTACGATGTTTCTAAATGGATGTTAAAAAAGTGATTCTTAGTTATCACCGTTGTGATTCTCATTGTGAAATCTCTCTCTCTCTCTCTCTCTCTGTGTTCTCTTTTCTCTTTTCTCGTTTTCGATCTCGTTCTCTTTACAGTCGCAAATTTAGTAGGTTGCGTCAGGGTGTATCATTCGTAGGAAAGAGAAACTAAAGGAAATTGTTATAGTTTCTCCGCGATACTTTCATATTAGGACAGAAAGCTTTCCGAAATTTTTCGAGAATGGAGGAGTACACCCTGTCGTAGCCGATTCAATTTGCCTAATGAAGAAAGCGAGGGACGAGCTAGGCGAGCCGATAAAACGTTACCCCTCTTCTTTTTCTCTTTCTCTCTCTCTCTCTTTCTCTCAAACACTCTATCTCTATCTCTCTTCCTCGCTCTTCTGCTGTTTCTGCCTTCGAATCGATTCCGTTTCATGCCTTTGACAGAGTTATTGCGTTTCTATACCCCGTTACGTGTGTGCCCTTCCTTTTTACTCTTTCCTTTCTCTCTCTCTCTCTCTCTCTCTCTTCCTCTCTCTTTTTTTATTCTTTTTTTTTCTCTGTTATTTTTCTATGCGACTAACTGATAGAAAGGACAAACGTTGCCTCAAGCACATTTAGCAAGATATATATATATATATATATATATATATATATATATATATATGTGTGTGTGTGTGTATATTATGATTTTACAAATTAATAATAAAATCATTCGCGTATATAGAAATATTGGCGTAAATTAATATGTATTTATTCTATTATCACAATACGACGATGATTAAAAATATGGAAAATATTTTTTATAAATATATTTATCTTTCAGAATTCCATAAGACACAACCTGTCGTTGCATTGCAAATTCATGAGAGTACAGAATGAGGGAACGGGAAAGAGTTCATGGTGGATGATCAATCACGATGCTAAACCCGGGAAATCACCACGACGTAGGTAAGTTGAAATATTACATATGTATTATTTTCATAATTTATATCATATTATTGTTTTTTTCTTTTCTATTTTTTCTTTTCTTTTTTTTTTTCTTTTTTTTTTCTTTTTTTTTTTTTTTTTAATATCTTTTTGTTTTTTTTTCATTCCGGCAAATAATTCGACATTTATCAGATAAATTCTCGCTCGTTCTTCCATAATAATTCTTAATAATACCAACGTAAGGGATCATCAAGTATTGATCTTTAGGGGATCATTATTCTTCTTATTATTATATATGTATTATGCATCTGTACGTCTACACGTTAATATGAAATAAAATATCGTGCAGAGCTACGTCAATGGAGACGAGCAAATTTGAAAAAAGACGTGGTCGAGTTAAGAAGAAGGTCGAAGCATTGAGAAACGGAGTTTTGCAAGCTGATGCTACACCAAGCCCAAGTAGCAGCGTCAGCGAGGGTTTGGATCTTTTCCCTGACAGTCCACTTCATCCAGCCAGTGGATTTCAACTTTCACCGGACTTTCGGTGAGTCATCTTGGATACGAAAGGATACGATATCGTTCCTGAACCTTATCTATCTATCTATCTATCTATCTATCTATCTATCTATTCTCTATACCCACACCCATTCCGCATTCTGTCTTTTGTTGGAATATTTTAAAAGAAAAACTTTTTCGTATAATAATATATATATATATATATATATTATTATTATTATTATTATTATTATTATTATTATTATATATACATATATTTCCAATAGACCTCGAGCATCGAGTAACGCGTCCTCCAGTGGTCGATTGAGTCCAATTCCTGCGGTTTACGGGGAACCAGAATGGACACCAACCTATGCGCCATCTTACAGTCCGGAACAGTTAGGTTCGTACGAAGTGTTACGGTCATGATAGCTTTTTCACTGCTCTATTATATCTACTTATCGATTTTATAAGAAATTTTATCACGCTTCTATATATATATATATATATATATATATATATTTATATATCCTATAATTAATCGATCTAGACACGATCCTGGCCGGTAGCCTCGCGGAAACCATGAAATTGGAGTCGTATCAAATGTACCAAACGTCACCCCCTAATCATCAGCAACAAACTGGCCCACCACCTTCTTACTTCGATACGCAATATCAGAGAAACAATACTCTACGCACTGGTTCGTCATCTTTCGGACTTCCACCTACGCCACAGCCCAGTAGTCAACAGAGGTGCCCGATACATCGTTTACAGGCTTGCGCTTGTCAGATGGTGAATATATATATATATATATATATATATTTACGAAGTGTTTTATTTTGCTTTTTTAACTTTCTTTTTGTTTCTTTCTTTCTTTTTCCCCACCCTTGAATATCGGTCAACGAACGCGGAACCAAAGAAACGGGTCGAAAGGAAATAAAAAAGAAAATATAACGTATTTTTTTGTCGATCAAACAATTTCATACATAGATCACGTAAACGTTATTTTGTATCTTTATTTTCGATACGTTTAGAACCTGAGTCCGGTGTCTGGAATGTCACCGTCATATCAACAGAACGAACCAAGCCCAACGGCGCTGAGTAATAGTCAACAACAAACGATCCAGTATATGATTCAGAATCAACAACGGCAACAGCAGCAACAACAGCAGCAACAGCAACAGCAACAGCAGCAGCAGCAGCAACAACAACAACAGCAACAACAACAACAACAGCAGCAACAGCAGCAGCAGCAACAACAGCAACGACATCAACAACAGCAACAGCAGCAGCAACAACAGCAGCAACAACAGCAAGCACAGAATGGTCCAGCGGGAGTAAGTCCGCCGCACACACCTTCCCCATGTGATTCAACGCCAAGTACAATGATGGGACAATTAATGGGTGCCCTTAATAACTCAGCCCTGCTCGATGATCTCAATATTAATATCGAAACGTTGCACGGTGGATTTGATTGTAACGTCGAAGAGGTTAGTTTTTTTCTTCTCTCTTCTTTTTTTTTTTTTTTTCTCTTTTTTTCCCCCTTACGTATACCTTTGTTTCCCGAATAGAAACTTACGTCGTTAGTTTTTAATTTAATTTAAAAAAGAACGATCGAACGATTCTTTGTTCTTTTTAATAAAAGACATGATAAATGTTAAAAGTGAATAACGTCGATTAAATGATTCGAGATAAAACTGTAATGATTTATCCTATCATCACTGTCTTAAACGATACTTTTATTATTTATTTCATTAATATATTTGTAATAAGTATATCGATTTTGTTTATTTTGTTAACGATAATAGGTAATAAATCACGAGCTTTCGATGGATGAAACATTGGATTTCAATTTTCAACAAGGCGTAATGGGTACTGCGGCGATTCAAGTTAGCGACGGTAACATCGTCGGACAAAATGGTATAGTTACTCAAAATAATGTTGGGGTTGGTACGGCTACCGGAAATGCACCAGCGGGAGTTTACATGAGCACCAATGCGGCGACTCCCGCGGCACCACCTTCTTGGGTTCACTAGCAGTGGACCCCTCTGCCCTCGACACCACCATTGTCCTTACCAATTCCATCGACCAACATCGATGGATGGGACAATTATTGCGGGATGTCGGAGGGACAATTCGGTTAGTAAAATTATTCTTCTTATTTCTTTCTTTTTTCTTTTTTTTTTTTTTCTTTCTTTTTTCTTTAATTATCTTCTTAGGATTTATCGATCGTTCTAGGATCGCTAGGATTTTCACTACACCTTTTGTTTATTCGTAAAATTTCTTTTTTTTTTTTTTCTTGCTTTCTTCATTTTTCTCTCTCTCTCGAGAAACTTACGTACGTATTATTCCGGGGTCAGGGATGAAGTGAAGGGGCTGGTATGTGGGGTTAAAGATTGAGAGAAAATCGTCGTGCGAAATATCGAATCGAACGATATTTTTCGACAAGCATCGAACGAACGAACGAACGAACGAACGAACGAACGACAATCGATATATATTCCGAAGGTATGGAAATACCCTTTAATGCCGGTCGCGTCCATATGCGGAATAATATTTGCTCTCTCTCGAGCCATAACAATGGTCTCGCGAACGGTGTTTAATAAACCGCGTCGGAGTTATACCTCCGTTTTGTATACTAGTTCGTACGTGCCGTCACATTTATATATCATACTGCCACCTGTTTTGTTCGATATCATTGTTGACTTGTGCGCTATGCATTTTACCCATCGCACAAGCTTCGTGTATTCGCGAGAGCTATCCAATTATTTTCATCGTTCTCTCGAGCGTTTTATCCTTCGAAAATCGAAAGATATAACACGTATGGTATGGTACGTACCTTCTTCTATCCTGTCGAAGTGATTAAACGTTTTAGTAGCATTTAATTTTGATGATACGATGGGAAACGTATTTTTCTCTTTTCTTTTTCTTTCTTTCTTTTTTGTTTTTGTTTTCTTTCTATCTTTCTCTTTTTTCCTTTATCTTTTTCGTTCACTCTGGTTTTTTTTTTTCTTCTTTTTTTTCTTTTTTCCTTTCTATATTCTTTTTTTTTTCCTTACCAAAAGGAACTTTTAATACAGACGATTCGAGGAGGAAACGATTTTCTTTTTTAAGGACATTTACTGGATATTGTTTTTTCTTTTTTTTTTTTTTTTTTTTTTTCTTTTTTTTATATGGATATGCGTTATGTGAAATTTCACGTAATGGCAGTAGTAATAGTAGTAGTTAGTAGTAGTAGTAATAATAATAATAGTAATTGTAGTAGTAGTAGTTGGTAGTAGGAGTAGTAGAAATGCAAGTAAAATTGTCATGAATAGGGGGTTTTGATATCGTTACTAACTTTTTACGGAATTCGTTTCTGCGAAGGACACCCTTAAACGCGACGTTTATTACATTCGCGTTAGAGAATACTTTTTGTCACTTCGTATAGCGTTGATTGCGATAACGGGAACGTTACGGCCTTTGCCTTTTCGAAAAAAGCTCACTGCAATTATTCTGCAAGACTTGCGATAGAAGTTACAAGAGCGTGGGAGAAAGAGAGAATCCCTTTTTACGCAATCGCTTGTACGGAATAAAAGGAAGGTCGGAGGGAACGAACGACAGTCCCTTCTCGCAAAAAATGAGTTTCGTCGGTGTTGAACGCATGTAACAAAACCTCCGGCTAAAATAATTCGCGCTTCGCTCCTTTTAATCTTTACCGTACACGCACACAGTGTTGTACCGTGTAATTACGGTTTTATCCACGGCATCTCGACTCACGTACCTCGCGGCTTCAACGCAAATGGAAATGAAAATGGAGAAAGAGAGTGGTATGCGACACCGTGATAAAGGATTATCAACATTTGCATTACGCTTTTGCTAAAGAGAGAAAGAGATATCTCTCTCTCTCTCCCCTCCTCTCTCTCTCTCTCTCTCTCTCTCTCTCTCTCTCTCTCTCTCTCTCTCTCTCTCTCTCTCTCTCTCTCTCTCTCTCTCTCTCTCTCTCTCTCTCTCTCTCTCTCTCTCTCTCTCTCTCTCTCTCTCTCTCTCTCTCTCTCTTGGCAACGTGTTATCGTACAAATCGTAGTACGATGCATTGCCCGTCATCCGAGAAACGATAACAAAAGGCATCCTGGCGTGCCCCTGGTGAAGATGAGAGAGAGAGAGAGAGAGAGAGAGAGAGAGAGAGAGAGAGAGAGAGATGATGGAGGTAACAAGGAAGTGGGATATCCCTTATTATTTTTCTCCTTTTATTTATTTATTTATTTTTTCTTTTCCCTTTTCCTTTCGGCAGAGAAAACTTTTCTATGAATTTCACGAGTATCCCTGTTGCCCTTAATGCTTGCCTTCTTTTTTTCTTTCTTTATTTTTCTTTTTTCTTTTCTTTCCTTTTTTTCTTTTTTTTTTTTTTTTTCTTTTCTTTCTTCTCATCCTTCGAAACGTTTCAACGAAAAATTTCGATCGAACGATTCTCGTTTTTACATTGATAACGACAAGTGTACGTATGCATGATACATATGTGCACGTACTTATGCGTGTAAACGAACGAGACGAGACGAGACGAGACGAATAGAGACACAAACCCCACATTCAAAGCACTTAAGTTACTTACGTACTTATACCCGATAGGAAGGTAGAAAAATCGCTTCGTTGATCGCGTTAACCGTCCGCTTATACACTCGGACAAACTTCTCTACCGGTGGCAGACATTATTTACAGAGAGCGATATCGATTCGGATAGATATTAGCTTTTAGGAAAATATTTTTCACCGGTGGTAGACATACTGTTGGGAGAAAGGTAGAGAGAGTGGGAGAGAGGAGGACAGGGGGGGAGGGAGAAGAAGAGGGAAAAAAAGCAAAAAAAAATATTGGCCCTGTGCGTTACGTGTACCGTTATATTACTGCCCCCGGCATATTTCAACAATTTATTCCGCATAGGTACATACACGACAAGATGTCTTTTTTGTTTTGCTATTCGTTTTGCTCCCCCTCTCCCTTTCCCTCTCCCTCCCGCGCCTCTCTTTCTCGTTCTCTCTCTCTCTTTGTCCCTAGCTGTATCCAACTTTCTCTTTCTCATTCGTTTTATTTATTTATTTTTTTTTCTACGCATTACGGTAGCGACGGTATGTATTTGGGGGGTAGGGGGAGAGGGTGGTGTGTGTATACGTATATAAAAAAAAAATCGTTGGTAAAGTTAATATCAACGAGAAAGGACGAATTAATATATATATATGTATATATATATATATATATATATATATATATATATATATATATATATAATATAATATATCTTTGCTCTCGCCGATCTCGAACGAACGATCCGTTTTGTAATTTCGATTCGAATTATTTTAATTATCGTGAATAGAATTATCATCGATAAGAATAGCTCGAGTCGTCGATGATAAAAAAAAAAAAAAAGAAAAAAACGAAAAGGAATGGAAGAAAGGAAGGAAGGAAGAAAGAAAGAAAGAAATAAAGAAAGAAAGAAAGGAGGAAAGAAACAAAGGATTAGAAAAAGGATGAAGTAAAAGAAAAGGAAAAAAGGAAAAAAAGGAAAAAAGAGGAAAGGTGCGCGAACGATCTCGAGTGGTGAAGGGAAAAGGGAAGCACTTAGCCGAAACTGCAGGAGTCTGAAAGTCAGCAGCTATTCGGCAGACGTCACTGGCGCCAGCGGACTACCTTAAACCTCTCCTTCTCCATCTCCTCCTCCTCCTCCTCCTCCTCCTTCTTCTATTTCTCCTTCTACTCCTTCTCCTTCTCTTCTTCCTCACTCCTTTTCCGCCCACCATGCCGACAATCTCATTCCCCAAAAGCGTCGCAAGAATTATAAAGTTGGTGAAGGAGCGACCGTGCGAGCGTCAGAGAGAAAGAGAGATAGAAAGAGAAAGAGAGATGGGGGTGGAGGGAGGCGGGAGAGAGAGGGAGAAAAAGAGAATGGAAAAAAGAAAGAAAAAGAGGACAGGGATAGGGACTTCTTGCCTCGACCGTGCTCGGAACTCCTGTCAGCCGAGTCACCTCCGAACTACCCTCATCCCTTTTCATCCCTTTTTATTCTCTCACTCACGAAGTTTCCCAGGAAAAGCCAATCTCTTCTAGATTTTCGATACAGTTAAGAATTTTGACCGGTAGTCGTGTTTCTCTCGAGAATCTGTACACGATTAATGGGACAGGGGCAGGGGTGGGTTAAGGAAGGGGAAAGGGAGGTAGGGTTAGTTAGGTATGGATATTTAGATCGAAATAGATCAATTTTATATTGGGACAATTGTATTGTACAAATTCGACAATAGTAAAACGATGGTAAGGATACAAGGTCTTCCATCGCATTTATATTGTATTCTCTTATTGTCAACGTCGTCGTTTTTTTTTCTTTTCTATTTTTTTCTAATTTTCTTTTTCTTTTCCCTTTTTTTTTTCTTTTTTTTTTTCTTTTATCAATCCGTTCGTAAAACTTCGACGTCGCTCTTTTTTCTTTCTTCTTCTTTTTTTCCTCCCAACTTCCCCCCCCCCCTCTCCCCTCCCCCCGCTCGCCTGCTGCTCTTTTATTTTTAGCTATCAGTATTATTATCGTCGTCGTTTTTGATAGATAGACGTAAAAGGGACTTTATGTTCTAACGATCGAATGTGTCTCATTCTATCTATTCGTTAACCTTGAGCTTATAATTTTCCTCTAGTCTCTTGTGGTCTATATAGGCTAACTCTACGCGTCGTTGACGACTTTAATCACCGTTATTATTTTTCACGGGATTCTCGCTACTGTTATAATACGATAACGATGATCGTTGGTCATGGCCAATTAACTTTCTATGGTACGGAAAGTATAAGTATAATATACCTACCTACGTTTGATCGTGTTCATCCGAGCGTAAATGCTTTTTTTTTTTTTCTTTCCTTTTTCTATTTTTCTTTTTCTTTATTCTTTTTTTTTTCTTTTTTTTTTTTTTTTTTATGACACAAACGTACACACGACGACAATTGTGTTCCAGATCGCGAATACGACGATACTTCATATTTCGTTCCTTAATTGCTGATACTATTATTATTAATTGATCTTCGAATCTTTTATAATACAGAACCGATATACAGGAATAATAACGACGACGATTTTTTTAAACTTAAAAGATAGAATATATATGTATATCTTTAATTCATTTTTTTCTTCCTCCTTTATTTTTTCTTTCTTTCTTTCATTCTTTCTTTCTTTCTTTCTTTTTCGTTTTGTTTTTTTTTCTCCTTCTTTTTTTTCCTTCCGCTATCTTCAGTATACGACGACAGGAAAGGAATAATATACGCGCGTATGGGAGGACAAAAGTACGAGGGCAGTGATGGGGGAGGAGGAGGAGGAGGAGGAGGTGGAGGTGGAGGAGTAAGAGGAGGAGGAGAGAGGGAACGTTTAACGGAGAGTCGCGATCTCCTTCAAGTCGCTTCTTTCTTTCTTTCGTTCTTTTTTTTCGTCTTTGGATAACCGCGAATCTTCAACTCTCTCTCTCTCTCTCTCTCTCTCTCTCTCTCTCTCTCTCTCTCTCTCTTTCTCTTCCCTTTTTTTCTTTTTCTTTCTTTTTCTTTCGCGTTTCTTCGTTTCTCTCGCGAGAGAGTACATCTCTTCCGTACCTGTTTCTCGTGCCTGTGGGAGTGGTACTCGAACCAGACGACCTCGACGATTCCTTCGTAATGCCAACAAGGAATGCCGCCGGACACGCATTCCTACGTATAGAAATGTCGCGATGTGTCTACGCATGGAAAGGAAAAAGTCCAATGGTCGATGAAAAAAGAAGAAGAAGAAAACGAAGAGGAGAAGGAGGAGGAGGAGGAGGAGGAGGAGGAGGAGGAGGAGGAGAAGGAGATGACGTCGCGTGCATATTAGATAGGCCAATGAAGAGAGAAAAAGAGAAAGAGAGAGGGATAGAGATAGATAGGTAGATAGATAGATAGAGAGAGAGAGAGAGAGAGAGAGAGAGAGAGAGAGAGAGAGAGAGAACGCTACTGGTTATAGTACACCTTCTTAAAGATTACTCCTTTGATAATAATCCATTGATGCCGATTATACCTTTTTTTCCTTTATTCATAGTTACGTGTATACTATCTTACTCATACGTTTATGCAAACGTTACAATTATATCTATTATATATAAGAAATTTTTATATACGTCAATGCTTTTAACAAAATGTAATTAATGTTTTTAATCGAACTAATTATGAAAATTACCAACGAATTATTAGATAATTGCCATAATATCTAAGAATTTCTTAGGAATAGATTTGTCTCGTATAATTAATTCATCCTTACTTATTCTTATATTCAAGATTTTTATAATGTTTTTCTTTTTCTTCTTCTTCTTCTTTTTTTTTTCTTTCCTTTCTTTTTTCTTTTTCTTTTTTCTTTCTTTTCTTATCTCTTGGAATGTATGCCGCATGGAAAAAGAAGAAGAAGAAGAACAAGAAAAGAAGAACTAGTAGGAGAAATAGATGAAGGAGGAGGAGGAGGAGGAGGAGGAGGTGGTGGTAGTGGTGGAGGAAAAGAAGGAGGAGAAGGAGGAGGAGGAGGTGGTGGTGGAGGAAAAGAAGGAGGAGGAGGAAATAGTAGTATTATATCTCTAGGAAGAGAAAGTTAACTATTTCATATGTGGGTACTACTACTCTGGGTACTACGGAGGAGGAATATATTATTCGTTGAGAAATGACGTGGCGCCAAAATGCGTGCAAAAGAGGGTGACACGAAATATTGTCGGTCCTGCGTGTACATATGTGGTGTGTGTGTGTCTGTATATATATATATATATATATATGTATGTCTGTCGTCTCGTCTCGTCTCGTCTTGTCTCGTCTCGTCGACGGATCATCTGTGTCTGACACACATTGGCCTACTTTTCTCTCTCTCTCTCTCTCTCTCTCTGTCTCTCTTTCCCTCTCTTTCTCTCTCTGTTTCTTAGTAACGCGTTTCATATATATATATATATATACATATATATATATATATACATACATAGGTAGATATGTAAGTATTCGTTTTACGTGCACACGTTTGCATTCGGGAACACGTCTTCTTCCTTTTCTTATCTCGACTTTGAGAAAGAAAGAAGGAGGGGAGGAAGAGAGAGAGGGTGAGAGAGAGAGAGAGAGAGAGAGAGAGAGAGAGAGAGAGAGAGAGAGAGAAAAGTGGACCAGGATTACAACGAACGCTTTTCTTGGATCGTAAAAATGTTATATAGCCAAGCGTTCGCATAAGTTTCTTCTTATTTCGTTGGATTAAGATGGAACGAAAAAGGTCTTTACGTCTTTCTGTGTTGTGTTTTGTATATATGTAGTAGGCATATAGGCGACGACGTTCTTAATTCTTCGGTCGCCTTGCTAATGAAACGATTGCGTTAATAGTTTTATTTCATATATGGAGACGAGTTAACGAGCGATACCATCTAAGGATATCTCCGTCTTTTTATTTCCAATTTAACTTTATCGTTCTCTCCTTTGCCATTTTTTTTTCTTCCACTTTTTTCCGCTTTTCTCTCTCTCTCTCTCTCTCTCTCTCTCTCTGTGTATGTGTGATTTTTTTTTCTTTCGTTTCTTTTTTTAACAACGTATATATATCTCAACGCATTCAATGCGTTTCCAAAAAAAAAGAAATTATCCAAATACTATATCCTTCCCTGGGAGCGGTTTATATATATATATATATATATATATATATATTTATTTATTTATTTACATATATATATGTATATATCATTATATATGTATTTATATGTATATATACATATTTTTTTTTTTATTCATTTGATATAGCTGATGACGCCAAACAGGCGGTCACACAAGCACCATAGCAACGTAAACAATTTTGTCAATTGGCGTCATCCCGCGCAGCGTATGTGTTAAACGATATATGTATGTATATATGTATGTATGTATATATGTATGTGTGTATATACGTATGTATGTATGTGTCGTACTATATTACCAAACAGCAACAATAAAAAAAAAAAAGAAAAAGAATAAAAAAATAAAAAAAGAAAATAAAAGAAAAGAGAAAAATCACAGATCGATCGTTATTATACGTATTATATTATATATTATGGCATAATCTAAAATCGATTGTATTCGTTAGAAGATCGTAGTTGCATTTTGCATAGGGGCGGCCATTCTATCGCGATGATTACGCAATGGCAATGAGAACTACGGTGTTAAGCTCCGCGATCGATGAAAATCAAAAACGTTTTCGAAATTCAAATATATATCTGTGCAATATATACGCGAAGCTCACGGAGATTTGCATTGGCAATAAAATAGTGAAGTATAGAGCGAGAGAACGGCAAGTACGGACGCACCGAAGATAACAAACGTTAAATCGACGATTCTTTAACCTTCAAACATTCAGAGAGTGAGAGAGAGAGAGAGAGAGAAGAAAAACGCATGTAGTTATTGCATTATGCATTTTATACAAATTAAACTAACACCGAACGAATAAATTTGATTCCCTTATTTTAATTCTTTTTCTTTTCTTTTTTCATTTGGTCTCTTTCTTTCTTTCCTTTTTTTTCTTTTTTCTTTTTATTTTACAATCACGGTTACACAGACACACAAACGCATGCTCTCTCTCTCTCTCACACACACACACACACACACACACACATACAAAAGAAAAGAAATCAATTTTTGATCATTTGTATACAAATAATTTAATATTTTAATATATTATTATTTTTTTTTCCCCCTTTCTCTCTTTACAACGAGATTATCAATTTTTGCTTGTCGACAGGTAAATAAAGAGAATTAATCGAGAAATTAGGAAAGAATCTTTCGTGATCGGCATACATCATTTCAACGTTCTTCGATTCTAACGTTTTTCTATTGGTTTTGGTAGATTTGCCAAATCACTTGCAAGGCTATGCTCTTTAGTTTCTTACGTTGTAAAGCGCACGAAAATATGTTCGGAGAATCAGACGAAGGAGGAATAAGAGGAATAAAAGAAGAGTAAGAAGAAGAAGAAGACGAAGAAGAGGAGGAGGAGGAGAAGGAGGAAGAGGAGAAGGAGGAAGAGGAGGAGAAGAAGCAAGAGCACTTACGAAGTTTGCCTTGGCTGACGAATAGTCACTGCTAGCGTTTAAGTAACATTACGCAAGCATATATATACATATAGTGCGTAGGCCAAGCAAGGCGCCACCACATACGATATCTACCACCAAACGTGTTCCCTCTATTACAATATTTTGACCTTCAAAATGATCATTGCGTTGTGTTGCGTTAAAAAAGGAGAGAGAAACATAAACGAAAAAAAAAAAAAAGAAAAAAAAGAAGACCGAAAACAGAAACGGAAAAAAATAAAAGCGTACGATACGACAGACGGTTTTTTTTTTTTTTTTTTTTTTTTTCTTTTTTTTTTTTTTTTTTTTTAAAGAAAATTACTTGCGTCAATTAACCGATAAGACTCGCTACGATATTCCGTGGCATTTTACGACTCCCTTTTTATTTTTGTTTCTTCTGTTTTTCTTTTTTTTTATTTTTTTTTTTTTTTTTAGATAGTCCAATAATTCTCGTTTTATTTTTACTCAATTTAGATACATATATACATACTTACTTACATATATATATATATATATATATATATATATATATAACGGCTGACCTTAGTTTAGATAGCTTAGAAAAATACTATAATGCGACGTATTCGCGCGTTAATAATACTCCATGAAAAATAATCATTATGAATAATCATTTTGGAAACATGGAAGTTAATGTGTTGCATTTGTAACTTTTTAGTTAACGTTATAATGTGTTATGAAAAATTCGTGATAAAGACAATTCGTGATAAAGACAAATTTCAAATGCGTATATTAGCGTCGGGTGGGATGAAGTGGCCACTGGTGGGGAAGAGGGACAGGACAGTTAGGTCACGTGATGGATGGTTTTCAACGAGGGATGGGTGAGCAAAAAAGAATGGAAAAAAAAAAAAAATAAAAATAAATAAAAACAGAAAAACAAGAAACAGAAAAGAACAGAGAAGAGCAATAGACACTATGACTTTACTCGTAACTTTGAGATAAAACTTATGATGATAAATTACGCATCTATTTTACGCATGTAATTATTGAAGATGGAAATATAAATGTTATTCGTGTATGATCAAATGGAATTAATTTATAGCATAAAGGTTGACGATAATGAGCGCTTTGCGTCACATTCCTCTCTCTCTCTCTCTCTCTTTCTCTCTCTCTTTTTCTCTCACTTTTTCTCTCTGTCTATCCTTTAAATCGGAAATCTAGCAAAAGTGTGGTCGACCAATCAGATTGTGTATTAAAGATGCGTGCGAGACCGTCGTCGTTCGAAGTTATGGCCTCGATTAGAATTTCTAATCTGCCTTTAACATTTGCGTAGTTTGTGTATAACGTTAGAAACGCGCATACGTATTTATGTATATATGTATGTACGGATAGATTATTAATGATCAATGGCGACAATTTATTGATACAATGTTTCTTTTTCACTCCTAATAATTCATATCGATATATACGCATAAATTTGTTTATTTTATTTTTATTTTTTTTTTTTTTTTTCATTCGTTTTGTTTTGTTTTTTTTTTCTTTTTTTTTTTCCTCTCTCTCTCTCTTTTTTTCTCCTTTCAGAAAAATTCTTTGATCGATCGATCGATTGATCAGATTGACAACATCGAGATAATTGTTGCAATACCGGACTCGACTTCCATTGATCTTTTTCTTTTTTTCTTTTTTTTTTCTTTTTTTTTTTTTTTTGCGATGACATTACATGAGAGAAGGTATTAATCGCGCGAAGGTATTATCAGATTGTTATAACATTCTCAATTAATCTCCACTATTAACGAACTGTCGATTATCGTAATATATTCAATAAAATTACTTGGATTTATTCAAATTACATTGGATTTATTATTCGATCGTTAAGGACAAGTAATTAAAAAATCTTTTTATAAATTAGTACGATTACGAGTGAATACATATCTGTTCTATCTAAAAAAATTTTTCTCTCCGTCTATCCCGCTGCGATATTTTCCTTTTCTTTTTTCTCTTTTTTTTTTCTTTTTTTTTTTTCTTTTTTTTTTCTTTTTTTTTTTTTTCTTTTTCTTTATGAAACAGAACGTCGACCACAATTTATACATGTGATTAATACATTACGTACAACGTAACGCAATATAAATAATCCTATGATTGTCGTGTTAAATCGAATTAACTGAGGATTTTCTCGTTTCTTATTAGGGGGAGAGGGTGGGGGGGGGGGAGGAAAGAAAAAAAGAAAAAAAAACAGAAAAAGAAAGAAGGAAAGAAATTAAAAGAAGAAAAATTCACAGTGAATTTGAACAATGCGTTAGCTGTGAGATTCGATAGAGTTCTATAATTTTTTATTCGAATTCGTAGTCATCGTGTCTATGGAAAAAAAAAAAAAAAAAAAAAAAGAAAAAAGAAAGGATAAGCTTATATTTCTCGGCGTTACGATAATCGTGATAATAAAGTAACGTTGTTGGTAAAAGAAGGAGAAGATGGAGGAGGAGATGGTCAAAGAGGAGGAGGTGAAAAGAAGTGAAGGAGAGAGGGGGGGGGAGAAAAGACCTAGACTCGTTTAAAATTCTAATAATATTTCTTGTTCTTGGTGAATAATGGCCCGTAGTCGATAAGAAGGCAATAGAGCGAGAGTAGAGTGGATCGTATCGGGAGAGTCCGTTTATAGCTTAGCGGTCGAGCAAGCGTGTTCGAGAGAGAGAAAGAGAGAGAGGGAGAGAGAGAGATAGTGAGAGAAATCGAGCTTGCAGTAGCGCGAACATGACATCAGTCGGGCGTGCGTTGCACGCGTGCGTGCGCGCGAGGAGCTCTGTTCACGCGTGCGCTTTCATGGCGTTTTTCACGCTTCTCGCCTTCTCCTTCTCTCTCTTTCTCTTTTTCTCTCTTTTTCTCTTTACATCTATCTCTCTCTATCTCTCTCTATCTCTCTCTCTTTCTCTCTCTTTCTCACTATCTCTTTTTCTCTAACGCTTCTAAAATAAACCGTGCAAATATAGGACGACGCACGGTGTTGCGCGTGTATGCGTGTACCGCGTTCTATCCGCTCTCGCTGTCATGGAATTCCACGCTCCGCTTATTATGCCGCCTCACTATGACGCTCTCGGTTTATCGAGCTTCGACCTTTCCTCTCTTCTCTCTCTCTCTGTCTCTCTCTCTCTTTTCTCTCTCTCTCTCTCTCTCTCTCTCTCTCTCTCTCTCTGTCTTCTCCTCTCTTTCTCTTCTCTTTAATATTTTTTCATAATTGGGTTTGATAAATTACCAACAAATTGCGAAAACGATAGATTGGTGTCTTTCAACAGATACGACTCTTTTCAAAGATCTTATTATCAGTTATTCGTTTAACAATGCTCCCTTTTAATTTATTTTTTAAATGAACATATATATATATATATATATTTATTTTTGGTAAAATAGGATCATCGTAAAAATCGTTCCGCGTGAATCTCTCGCATTCTTTCTTGAGGACGAGAAAGAAAGAAACAGAAGATGGGAAGAAGAAAATGACGAATGTTCGCGGGATTCGGAGAAGGGTGGGAGGATGAGGAGGGTGTACCAAGTTACAGAATACTACTACGTAGTCGTCGGGCCGGACGGAGAAATTAGGTGGAAAATTATTTAAATCATTCGTTCCCGATGAGCGACACCTCGCGAGTTGAAACACAAGAAAAAGAGAGAAAAAGATAGAGAATGAAAGAGAAAGAGAGAGAGAGAGAGAGAGAGAGAGAGAGAAAGAAAGAGAGAGAAAAGAGAGCTTGGTAGCGCGGCTTGCCACCAAGGAGGGCCACTTAATAAAGAGTCGCCGACAGCGTGACAGTAAAGTAACTTCGTTCGCCGGAATTTAAAATTAGATTCATAAAAATTATTCTAATAGATTCTCTCGCGGTGCTCCCGTAGAATCCATCTCTCTCTCTCTCTCTCTCTCTCTCTGTCTCTCTTTCTCTCTCTCTTTTTCTTTCTCTTTCACTAACTCGTTCTTTTTCTTCTTCGTTCACCCTCCTCAGCAGTCATCTCCTCTTCCTCCATCTCCACCTCAACCTCCTCCTACTTTTCTTGACGCTCAGGGGGCAAACGAGGCAAATTCGATTTGACACGCGGCCCGTCGACCGTTTCTGCATTCTTCTCCGGTCCTCTTATCTCTACTCACCCTCACCCTTATTCTCTATCTCACCCTCTCTTCTTCCTTCTTTCTTCCTTCTTTCCTTCTTTCTTTCTTTCTTTATTTCGTCCTCTTTCTCTTCCATTATCACTTTCTCCTTCTTTACCTTCTTGTCTCTTGCTTGTCGTCCTTAGAATGCTTCATTGTGTGAAGCTGACGGAAACGAGAGAAGGAAAGAGTGTAGAGAGAGAGAGAGAGAGAGAGAGAGAGAGAGAGAGAGAGAGAGAAAGAGAGAGAGAGATTGGGAGAGAGACGAGTTATGCAAATGTGACAATAACCGAACGTCAATCAGGAAGAAAGTTAACTTGGAGGGATATGCCTGACTCTCCTCTCTTTTCCTTCTCGATTCATCCCCACGCTTCCACTCCCACCTCCCACTTGCCAGCCCATCCAACCCTCTCATCCTTCTTACTCGTTCCCATAGAAATTAAGGATAGCGGGAGAAGCGTCCTTTGCGGACAGGGCCACGATGGGATCCTTCGAATGCAATTTAAACTTTGCAAGACGCGATTTCCTCCTTGCGAAGAATTAACGACGACGATCTTCGTTTTTCCCCCTTTCGATTCTAACCTAGGAAGTCGTCCTATCTTACCACCTCTCTTCTCTCATCTTCTGTCTTTTATGGTTTTAAGAGAGAGAGAGAGAGAGAGAGAGAGAGAGAGAGAGAAAGAAGCGAGGGTGTTTCGTTAATCAAGCGTGAAGAACGTCCTTGTTCATTTCTCTCTCTCTCTCTCTCCCTTTTTTTTTCTTTTCCTTTTTTCTAAAGATGAAACGCGATCGAACATTTAATACACGTGACAACGATTATCTTAATTATTAAAAAGAATTCCATCGTGCTGAGAAAAAGAAGCCCTTTTCTTTTTTCTTTTTAATTTCATTGTTACACCGAAGAATTTGTTGGATTTTATTA